CCATTTCTTGCTCGGTTAAAAAACCGTTTCTGCTCAACTTGCTCGGTCGTTTGACCGTAGCCACTCAAAACTAGCTCGGTCGTTTGACCGTAGCAACTTGACTCACTTGGTTAAAAAACCATTTCTACTCGGTTAAAAAACCGTTTCTCGCTTGGTTCAAAAACCATTTCTACTCGGTTAAAAAACTGTTTCTTACTTGGTTCAAAAACCATTTCTCCCTCGGTTAAAAAACCATTTCTTGTGTGGTTCAAAAACCATTTCTCCCTTGGTTAAAAAACTGTTTCTTGCTTGGTTCAAAAACCATTTCTACTTGGTTAAAAACCGTTTCTTACTTGGTTCAAAAACCATTTTTCCCTCAGTTAAAAAAAACCGTTTCTTGCTTGGTTCAAAAACCATTTCTACTTGGTTAAAAAACCGTTTCTTGCTTGGTTCAAAAACCATTTCTACTCGGTTAAAAAACCGTTTCTTGCTTAATTCAAAAACCATTTCTCCCTCGGTTAAAAAACTGTTTCTTGCTTGGTTCAAAAACCATGTCTCCCTCGGTTATAAAACCATTTTTACTTTACTTGTCCAGTCATTCGACCAGTTTTACATTATTTGTTTAGTTGAAAAGAAAAAAAAAAGAAGAAAAAACAAAAAACAAAAATTTGAGTTATGACAGTTGCCCCTCTTTTCTTTTCTTTCTGTTAAGAATGAAAAGAAAAGACAAGAATATAAAAGTCATAAGAAACACATAAGAAATGGTTTTTGAACCACATAAGAATTTCCCTTTTCTTTGACTATAGGCTTGTAACATGGCTTGGGCTTGGGTTAGGTTATGATGAAAGAAAGGATAAAGGCTCAAAATCCATAAATTCCCCTCACATTCCTCTCTTCACTTCCCCAGTCATTAATGTGGGTTAATAGAAAGAAAATCATTCTGGCTTTTGTAAATTTGAATGATTACCTTTTTCTAGCTAAAAAGGGGTAAGCAAAAGGGTAATGTTCAACTATTTAGGGTAAAGAAACAAGGCCTTTCATCATTGGATATTCACTTTCCAAGTCAAGGAAACATCTAACTTGTTAGGCTGCCCTTCCCAGTTTTGACCTAACTCTCTTATTCTTCTTTTTTTTTTTTTTTTTGATAATATTGGCATTCACTAGATGATGATAATCAGTTCCATATGGATATCTCAACAAGAGTGTTCCTCTAAAGAAAGCTTCTCTAACAACATAGGGCCCTTCATAGTTTGATGCAAATTTGCCCCCATGATCTTCCTTAGGACGAGATCTCCTTGGTGAAGCACTTTAAGTTTGACTTTCTTGTTGTATGCTGCTACCATTTGGCATTGATAACATTGGCCATGGCAAAGAGCTGCCAATCAAACAAGTTGAGACTATCAACTCTTTATTTTTTTCTTTTTTTTTCTTTTTTAATTTTTTATCTCCTTTTTGTTTCTAGCTCTTGATTTGGTTGCAACATTGGCTTTTCCTCTCTTGGCATTTGAGTTAGTTCATGAGAAGGATCAAGACTTTCATTGTCTTCTTCATTATAGATCTGATCATCCATCTCATATATAAAGTCTGATATGACATCATTGCTTAAAGATTCATCATTAGCAGGCCTGAAAATTATGGATGGAAGTAAATAAATGGCCAAATAATAATAAAGCAAAGATAAGAACCTGTTAAAGGTGGCTTGTACAATGAAAGTTCAAATAAAGTTGCATCATGATGATTTTTACAATGATGGGTAGGATTGCAACATGTTCATTGAAAAGGAAAGCATGGGAATACTAGTAGCATGATAACATAAATTTCAGAAAATATAAAAGTGCTTGTTGAATCCTCCCTTCACATAGTCACAAGCAAAACTACTAAAGGTTGACTCCTTTTACTCAAAGATGAAAGCTGCAGGGAGAAGTTTCGCTGTCCAATTAGCCTGAAAGCTTCCACTGACTAGTGAAATTCCCGTATCAAATTCTGATTCTTCCTCATCTAGAGCATTCATGGTCAAATTTCCCCATGAGTCACATAGTGATTCTTCTTTCACTAATTCAAGAGACATAGACTCATGTGAATCCATTGGAGCTTTCACATGATGAACAAGATGGAAGTTGGGTTGCTTCTCCATGAATGCCCTTTCAACTAGTATCCTCCTCCGTGTCTCCTTAGGATCTACCATGTTGGCCGACCCAAAGAGATTGTTGAAGCCAAAATAGTATTCTTCATCATCAGAACAGACTTCATCAATGATATCTTCCACAATCACCTCCTCAAATTGTGCTACACATTTTTCTGACACCTGAGCAAACACAAACTTCAAAGATCCCATTGCTTGCAACTCCTCAACCTTTTTCTAAAAATCTTCACAATCTCGCAAAGCATGCCCCTTCATATTGGAGTGTTAAGGACACACCAAGGCATCATCAATCATTGCAAGGGAAACATTCAAGCTCATTTGTGCAATCGGCTGAATCAAACCATACTTTGTCAAAATGGTAAGCAATTCATCAAGAGACCAAAAACTAGCATTCTCCAACATGGGCTTTCCAACTTCATCAAGAGCGACCATATTCATTGTGCCTGCATTGTAAGGGGGTAAAGGATTTTGAGTGATGTTCGAAGTACTCTTGGCTTCATCGAACTGAAGTTTACCCTCATCGATAAGATCTTGAATTTTTATTTTCAAAGTTGCACAATATTCAGTACCATGATCCACCACATTGTGATATTCGCACTTAGCTTGCGGATCATACTAGTATGGATAAGGTGGTTGAATAGGGTTCGCTTGCACTGTCTCCAATAAACCCACTGCAACTAATTGTTTCAATGCCTCACCATAAGGGATTGGAAGCTTAGTGAACTGTCTTGACTTATTCGTAGATGGGAATTGCTGCCTTAACGAAGTGTGAGCATTAAAGTTTGGCCTCCTTTGAGAGTGAGTGGTAGGCTTATAAGCTGGGGTGTATTGCATTTGAGTTCGGCGCTTATAAGGAATATTTGCCACATTATGACAAGTGGAAATATGGCTCAAAGCTTCTTCATCTTCTTTTCTTCCTCCGGGTGCAAACTTCTTTGAAGTAGATCCGGCACTACCCATTTTGACTTGTTCTAACTGTTTCTGGATGGCTTGAAAATCCATGATTATGTCGGTCTTAAGTCCATCTTCAATCTGTTCACCCACTGTCACTAGCTGAGCGAAAGTATATCCCACACAAGGAGCTAACGATGCATGGAAAGTCCCAGTAGTCGACTTGATAAAGAGAGAGCAAATTTCACTATTAGTGAGAGGTGGCATGACTTTACCTGCTTCGGATCTCCACCTTTGAGCAAATTCTTTGAAAGTTTCATTACTCTTCTTGGTAATTTTTTGCAAGCTATCTCTTGTAGGGGTCAAACTCATATTATACTCATATTGCTTCATGAAAGCTTGAGACACATCTTTGAAAGTGCGAATCTTCTTCTTGTCAAGTGTTGAAAACCAAACACTTGCTGGGCCTGAGAGATTGTCTTGAAAATAATGAATGAACACCCTTTCATCATTAGCATAAGGTGCCATCTTCCTAGCATACATCTGCAGGTGGGCATAAGGACAACCTAAGCCATCATACTTGTCAAAATCCAGCTACTTGAACTTGAAATTTGTTTGAATTCCCGGATAGTAGCAAAGATCATCCAAATCAATGGAACCATAAGCTTGCGGCCCTTGCATAGCCTTCAAAGCCTCTTCTAACTGTTGCAGCTTGTGATCAACCTCTCTTGATTTCCCATCCTCTAAAGCAGGCCTTAACATTGCAACCAAGGGGTTGGCTTGAATAGTTGGCACTTGTCCCATCAAGGGTGGTATGTTAAGGGTAAGAGGTGAGGTTGTGGATAAGGTAGGGTTGTTTACCTCGAATGGTGGGTATGAGGTTTCAAAGGGCAGAGATGATATTTGTGGAGCATGTGAAGATGACTCTCCTACTAGAGGCTGATTCTCATAAACAGATGGAAATTGCAATTGTGTGACCATTGGATCTTTAGCACGATTACCTGGTGTGATGGTAGGGACAGGTGGAACTGGTATTGTGGGTATTAAGGGTGTAGGTGAAGGAACCGAACTAGTAGCCAAAGTGGACAAAGTGAGACTGATAGTCTGAAGAATAGCAGCCATAGTTTGCATTATAGCTTCCAACTTATCAACCCTCCCATCCACAGTTGATTTCTCTAGATTAGTAGCAGCATTTTCCTCAGACATTTTGATTACTTTAGATCTAAGAAAATACGGAGAACGCCGCTTTTTGAAGAACTTTCGCCTTGGAGCTATGATTAGAAGGCCTTTTACCTAACAGAAACAAAAAGACAAAAAGGGAAAAATTAGAAAAATAAAGAAAGCAAATGCCATGAAGCTTGAAGAAAAAGTGACTGGTGTGATGCTTGGAGAAAATGGATGATGTGATGCTCCAAAGTTATGTGCACGAATTATTTTAATGCCTAAAAGATGGATCTTTCATGACTTTATCTTTGAAGAACTTTTTTATTTTTATTTTTTACTTTTTTTTACTTTTTTTTTTTACACAAAAATGTGAAATGCTTTGAATTTTGTTGAATAAGGCCCACAAGTTTGAAACATGCAAGAAAATGCAAGATGGCAAGAACTTTGAGTGAAAGTTTGAACAAAATTTTTTCTTTTTTGATTGAAGATCATGACTGAAGGACTTGATTGAAGAACAAGAAAATGTGAGGATCAAATTTTACTTTATTCTAAACATGAAGTGACATTCGACATGGGATGGAAGATGTGATGTAAGGTTGAATATGAGTTGCAATGAAAAATGAGATTGAAAATGTACTGAGAGCTGAACATGGATAAGATTTTTTATTTTTATGCAATTTTTATAAAGTATAAGACAATGAAAGATAGTAATGCTTGAAATGAAATGTAAGATGGAAGATGCAATGCATGTGAATGAATTTTCATTTTCATTTTTAGGCATTTGTTTTTGAACTATGAGATGGAAATAGTGGTGGTTGGAATGAAATATGTGATGAAAAGTGGGATGTGAAATGAACATGAAAGAAAAATGGAATGTGAAATGAACATGAAAGAAAACTTCACTTTTTATGCAATTTTTTTTTTTTCTATGAAATGTGGGAAAGATAAGATGAAGAAACATGAGAAGGAAACTAACAACATGAAACAGAGATAGATAAAATTTTCATTTTTTTGCATTTTTCCTCTTTTCTTTTCTTTCTTTCTTTCTTTTTTTTTTTTTTTTTTTTTTTTGCAACTTTTATAAAATAAGGGA